TCCCCGAAGAACGAACTCAAACCCAGAACCGCGGAACCGGACGAATGCACGCGCCTGCCATGGGTTTCTTCAACTCCTTTGACGCGCCAAAGCCCCCCACACACCCCGTCACGTATTCACGTCGTCGTCTTTACGCCCCATACGCTCCGGGCTGCTATTTAAGCCCCCCGGCAGACCCTGATAGATCGACAACCTCATCAAGCGCACACAAGTCAGCAAGCAGCCAAGCACACCACGAGTCACAGCCAGTCAGCCACAGCCAGAACCAGCTCGATCGTTCATCCTGCACGCCATGGGCGACCGCAAGACGGCGTCGTTGCTGCCACTGCTCTGCCTCTTCTCCCTCCTCGTCGCCGCCGCGGCGCCGCGGTGCGCGGCGTACAGCCCGCGGACGCTGTTCCTGGTGAAGCCCGACCCGATCGTGCTCCGGGACCACGGCGGCGCGCTACTCACGGGGAACCTCACGGTCAAGGTCAACGTCCTCTACTACGGCCGCTTCGCACCGGCGCAGCGCGCCGTCGTCGCCGACTTCGTGCGGTCGGTCTCGGCGCCGGCCCCGCGCGGCGCCGCCGAGCCGTCCGTGGCGTCCTGGTGGCGCACCGTCTCGCTGTACCGCGGCGGTGGCGCGCGGCTGAGGCTCGGCCGGGAGCTCCTCGACGAGCGCATGTCGCTGGGCCGGTCCCTCTCGCTGGAGAACGTCACGGCGCTGGCGAGGGGCGCGGGGCACCACCGCGGCGCCATCACCGCCGTGCTCACGGCGCCCGACGTCCTCGTGGCGCCCTTCTGCATGTCCCGGTGCGGCGCCCACGACCACGCCACCGCCGGCGCGCACGGCAGGGCGAGGTACGCGTACCTGTGGGTGGGCAACCCGGCCCAGCAGTGCCCCGGCCAGTGCGCGTGGCCGTTCCACCGGCCGTCGTACGGGCCCCAGGCCCCGCCGCTCGTGCCGCCCAGCGGCGACGTGGGAACGGACGGCATGGTGATCAGCCTCGCCGCGCTCCTCGCCGGCACGGTGACCAACCCCTACGGCGACGGGTACTACCAGGGCAATGATGCAGACGGCGCCGGGCCGGAGGCCGCCACGGCGTGCGCCGGCATCTTCGGGAGCGGCGCCTACCCCGGCTACCCGGGGAGGCTGCTCGTGGACCGGGCCACCGGCGCGAGCTACAACGCCGTCGGGCTGAGCGGGAGGAAGTACCTGCTGCCGGCGCTGTGGGACCCGACCACGTCGCAGTGCAGGACGCTGGTGTAGACGCCGTGGGAGCAGGCAAACTGGATGGTCTCGCACTCTCGCTGCATGAGATCCGGAGGAGAAATAAATGCCCTCCTCCATTTATTTTTCAGTCCATTGTAGTAGTGTACTCGTTGCATTTACTTGTTTGATCCGTACCCGTTGCAATGTGTTTTCCGAAGCAGCAGAGGTTGTATTGTACTCCGTGTGAGTTGTCATGCATCGCAGTATGCGAGTATCAATGACTTTCCATGCATGTTTATTTTCGGGGGAGCTTCTGGACACACTGGATGTTGCTGCTGGTGCTATTGTAAAAATCCAAACTTCACAAGTTCATGCTCGAGTGGACGGCGAACTCTCGAAGGAAGAAGACGATCGATATGATTTCCAATGTAACTTTTTACATATCGTTTTGTACTCCCTTCGTCTGGAATTACTTGTCCAAAAAATAGATACAAATGGATGTATCTAGAACTAAAATACGTCTAGATACATTCATTCCTGCGATAAATAATTTGGAACGAAGGGAGTATCAAAGTCCTCCTTCCTCTGTGTTGTCTATGATTTTCCTTCGTAATATCAGATATATAAGATAGAAAAGCATTGGATTCAGCTGACTGATCCTTAGTTAATCGCACGATCTTTTGTCATGTAATTATGAACATTTTTAAAACAAGGATAACTTTTGAAATTATGAATATTTTCTGAAAATGCAATCATTTTTTGAATTTTTCAACATAATTTTGAACACGGGACCGTTTTAAAATTCAGAACAATGTTTAAAGTTCCCAAACATTTTTTAAAACAAGTATAGTTATTGAATTTTTGAGCAAAATTTTAAAACAAAAATAATTTTTAAGTTCTTTTTTCAAATGTGAACGTTTTTTAAACATCTTTTCAAATTTTTGAGTTTTTTAAAATAAAAAAATAGAAAAAGGAAAAAAAGTAAAGAAAATCACATAAAGAGAAAAAACGGGTTAGGAAACTTCTAGAGGGTTCCCAAATTTGGTCAGGAACCCTCTAGTTACTCTATATTTTATGTAACCCCAGTTGTATCCGTGAGGACTATCTTGTAATTATCCCTGATGAATAAAGCACGACATTCTCTCTAAAAAATAGGTATTGTAGTCACCTGTCCTAACTACAAATGGACCGGCTCGTTTACTTTGTTTCGGAGACCTCCTATACGGTGCCTTTGCGCACTGGCGCTGACTTGCAAGATTAGCTGGGCACCAAATAGGGTTGTGTTTCGCCCAGAATTTCTAAAAATAAATCATTGATACAAAAAATATTCATACATTTCAAAAAAAGTTCGTCAAAAGTAAAAAAATAACGCCCGAGAATTTCAAAATGTGTTCCCAAAATACTCATCGATTCAAAAGATGATCAGCCGTTTTAGCAAATGTTTGCGAATTTGAAAAATGTTTAGGAATAAGAAAAATGTTCACACATGTCAAGATGTTCATGACTTCAAAAAATGTTCCCATATTATAAAAATGTTCATGATTTTAAAAAGTGGTCAATAATTTGAAAGATGTATGCAAAATGAAAAAAGGAAAAGAAAAAGTAAATTGTTCATTATTTCAAAAAAACCATGATTTCTAAAATTGTTTATGAATTTAAAAGATGTTCATAAAATAACAAAATGAAAAAAGAAAGAAAAATAAAATAAAAGTACATAAAAAATGAAAAGAATGGGCCAAAAATAAAAGGAAGAAAAAACCAGAAGGAAAAACAAAGAAAAAAAAATTCTAGGTAAGTTAAGATTCTAGAACTTTCTAAAAACCGGTGGGAGAAAATCCACCAAGGGTCGAACCATACTGAGGACATGTGCACGAGAGGGGTACACTTTGGCCTACACGCCAAAGTGTACTGGCTGGAGCACGTATCCAAGGGTTACCCGCAAGGGTCACTTTCTTCGAATGCGAGTGCGCCCAGCCGCCGCCAGATGTTGCATTAGGGCGGCCCCTTTAGATTTTGCTCTTTTTATTTCTCTATATGCATTTTCAAGTTTTAGATGAGTATTTTTATCCTTTTTTGGCCTTTGTCATTTTTCCTATGTTTTTGAGTAAATATTCTTTTATGAAAAGAAAAAAACTTGTGCTTCCACGAGAAGCACATATTTGTTTCTTGATGGAAGCACTCGTTGAAGCACAAATTCACTTCCGCGAGAAGCATAGTTGTTCTTCTTGAAAGGGAACAATAATGTTTTCATGAGAAGTATAGATTTACTTCCACGCGTGCTTGTCAAAAAAAAGGTTGTGCTTGCTTCTCGTGAAAGCACACATTTTCTTCTATGAGTTGTGCTTCTCGGAAAACGAAAAAATATGTGTTTCCACAAAAAGCACATTTTTGTTACTCACAGATGTATTTCTTGGGGGGAAAATGTGTGCTTCTAAAACTGAAAAAGGTGAAAAACCCGCAATCGTGCTTCGGGCTCCCATTTTTTTTCTCTGTTTTATTTCTTTGGTTAAGGATTTTTTTCATTTTTATCGGACTTTTTTTATTCTAGGTTTTTTGGTTTTTGTTTTTTTTGTTTTTTACTAAAAGAAAGTTTGTCGGAAGTTATTACCATTCGATCTAGTTTTAAAGATCTCGACGCAAGAAATCCAACGATTAAAATGATTCGGCATTTACGCATGGTTGAAGAAATATAATATTTGATTAAATGAAGCTAGAAATAAAACACCCAGGTTGCGACAAGTGACGCACAGTGTGTCACTTGTCAGCACATGAGCTACCTCTTAACTAGTGCTTTCGCCAGAGCACTCTTATCTTTTTTTAAGCAGTGGGAGCACTCTATCAAAGAGCCGAAAGGAGGACATCCCATCCTTCCAGTCTGGCCCAAATGCTCTTACACGGCCCAAGGGAAGCAGCCATTCCCTTTCCGCGTGTCACGACTCTTCTCCTCCGGCGTCAGTGCCTGCCTCCCCCAAGTATCCCCTCCTCACCGACCCAGAGCAGAGCTCCCCGCCCGCGATCCCCCGCCACCGGCAGCCATGTCCAACCCCGAATCGACCCCCCAAGCCGCCGCGTCGTCCACCTCGCCTCCCTCCCACGCCGGCCACATCCACACCCCGCTCTGCCGCTCCTGCGGCGCGCCCGCCGCGGCGCCCGCCCCCGCC